ATGCCTGCTGATGGGAAAAACCTCCATGTGACAACTGCAGGGACAGCTCTAGGCTGCATACCCCTGGAGCAGGTCTTTGGCCTGCCCTACCTTCTCATGGGCCTCTCCTCCATCCAGGTGTGTGGATACAGGAAGAGGCTGGGAAGCAGTGGCCTCTTGCCTCAGTTTTTCCTCCATGTCTCCCTCCCTTCCTGTTTTCCCTCCCACTTGCGGAAGGTGTGTCAGTCTCTCTTTTTAGAGCTCTTCACAGGAAACAAGATACTCTGGGTTTCCTAGTAATGAGCCATCCTTGCATTTCTGGGAAAAAGCTTCCTAGCCGTGGTGCACTGGTCTTTCAGTGCATTGCTAAATCTGTTGAACAGCTTTTTGTCTAGGATTTCCACACCAAATCGAAAGGGGTTGATGTGAAGTTTTCTTGTTTTGTGTAATCTTTGTCAGGTTTTGGTATCAGTGTTAAACTTGCTTCATTAAAGTGTTTGGAAAATTGATGGAGTTCTCCTGTTAAACTACTAGATTGCTTGCTACTGCTATTGTTTTAAATGGAAATAGCCCTTCCACAGAAATTGATCTATTATGATTTTCTAATTTTTTCTGGGATCAGTTTTGTCAAATTATGTTTTCCCAGAATATAATTCATTTAATTGAAGTTTTAAAAATTATTTTTCTAGGGTTGAGCAAAGTAGCCTTATGACCTTTTAAATTCTGTTTCTATGGTCATTTCTTTTATTAGGAAATCTGGAAAATTTGTAAACTCTGACACAATGCCAGGGAGCAGTGGTTGGGGTCAGGTTTGTGAGTTGTACTGTTTATCCAAACATCTATTAATGCATAATTGTGCATCAACTAAAAGGTGCACCTGGCACCAGTTGGCAAACTTCAAGGACAGAAAAAAATACTTTTTTTTTTTTGGAGAGGTTTTTGCTATAGGGCACGTGCGCTCACTAGAAAGACAGAGAGAGACAGAGAGACAGAAAGCGAGAAATCACTCCCTGGGGAGGATGACCACACTGCAGTCTCTTCTCCTCCATTCTTCTCTTGGGATCTTGGGCACGTATGCACACGCGCCCAGCGTGAGTTGAAGCCACCAGGTCCGGGACTCGAACCACAGTTGACTACATGGGAGTCCAGCAACATAGCCATTACACCAACTGCTGTTCCCAAAATACTGACTTTTGATTGCCATGAGCACAAGTTTGGAGCTCAGAATCAACTGGTCCTAAATCAGAAGTGGGCAAACAGAGGAAACATCTCATGTTTTCTGTTACCATTCCCCTCATTGCTGATGGGAAAAACCTCCATGTGACAACTGCAGGGACAGCTCTAGGCTGCATACCCCTGGAGCAGGTCTTTGGCCTGCCCTACCTTCTCATGGGCCTCTCCTCCATCCAGGTGTGTGGATACAGGAAGAGGCTGGGAAGCAGTGGCCTCTTGCCTCAGTTTTTCCTCCATGTCTCCCTCCCTTCCTGTTTTCCCTCCCACTTGCGGAAGGTGTGTCTCGCCCTGTGGCCTCTCCTTTTCTTTCCACCTGGATCCTGATGGGCCCAGGGAGCATTCGTGCCGTAGAGATCTCTGTCTCTGCCAGCAAAGCTTCCACTCTCCTGAGACAGGACACTGCGTGACTTTCAGAGACCAAGGACTTCAATATCCTTAGCAGGACGCTAACCACCTCCATGCTAGAGGGGTCGACGCCTTGGTGGGGACCCTCTGGGCACAACCTGCAAGATAAAAAGTCTCCTTCTGGTTAAACAGTTGGAAGTAATGTGACAGTGCTTTGGCTCATGAAAGGATTTCTAAGAAAAAAGTGTGACACAGGACCAATGCCACGTAGGAGACGCAGTCAGCCTGTTAACCATAATCAGGGCCAGATGGGCTGCGGCTTGTGGGTGGTGTGGGTGGGGGTTACTGTGTGGGTCACACTGACCCACTGCCAACCCTCTTATCCCTCAGGCAGAGCCCGTGACCCTGCAGGATGTCTGTGGCAGAGTCCTCCAGGATGCGGTGCACGTGTGGAGCAACATCCCAGCTGTGAAGAGGTAACTCCCAGGCAGATGGGGCCTTTCAAGTCTGAGAGGGACGCTGACCTAGTGTGCGCTGTCACCAAGGAAGCAGGGTCGGTAAAAGAGGCTATCTTATAGAGCCACCTGCACCAGCCTTCGTGCTCTGAGCCATGAGTGCCCCTCCAGCTGGGCCCTCCCCAGCCTTGGCAGTAGCTCTTCTGGGGTCTGGCCTTGGAGCTTTGTAGTGTCCCTCATCCTGAGCAAAAAGTCCACATGCAGCTGGCTCCTGTGCAGCCTTGTCCTCCTGGCCATTCCCTGTGGGGCCCCCACCCTACACATATTCACGCACACACATTCACATGTACACACCATATGTGCATGCTTATTCACTCGCTCACATGCTCACACTTATACTCATTCACAATTAGCTCACACACATTTATACATGCACACACTTACATGCATGCAAAAGTGCACTTGCACATATAGTTCACTTACGCACTCATTCACACCTATACAGGACACGCTTGCACAAACAGGCTCATTTATATACATGCTAACATGTGCTCACTCACATGCTCACACTGGACTCATACACTCATTTCACTCCCCGAAACACTTTCCAGCTACACTGGATGAGGGTTGCTGAGATGTGCCACACCTTGGGCCTCACACACACCCTTCCCTTCCTGCTAGGACATTCTCCTGACTGTTCAGTCTCTGAACATTCTCTCCTTAATGTCTCCCAACCGCACCCATAGCACCCATGATCACCCTACTCCCCTGGAAGCTTGCCCCCCGCCCCCGAGACCTTGTCTCTTTGAACAGGTAGGCCTGTCTCCTTCCCTCCCACACCCACTCCAGGGCAGGGTCTGCACATACACTTGTGTCTAATGGGTGTGGACTGCATTTTCTGGGCCAGTTAGATCACATCTTCTCTGCCTAAGAGTGAGTTTCTGGAAACTTCTTCCCACCTACCTCCCCGATTCCAGCTTCCTCCTGGCTTACAGCTATGGCCTGGCATCAGCCAAGGTGTAGTGCCTGCCAGGTCCCCTCTGCTCTGCCCAGGTGTTTGTGTTTAGGCAGAGCCAAGGGAACACCTGTGCACGCTGCTGGGTGCTACTCCCTGCCACCTGCCAGACCTCAAGCCCCTGACCCCACCAGCTGGTCAGCAGCAAAGTGGGAACAGCCCCTCAGATGCCAGTGTGTGCAGGCCCAGCCCTGACCAGCATCTTTGCCTTAGGTAGAATTTGTCACACCTGTACCCTTCCCCCAAGGCCCCAGGTGGGCCCCTTTCTGCTGAGGCCCCCACAGGGTTCCTGCCTACTATAAGCCCAGAGCCCTTGGGAGCAGTTGAAGGCTGACTACCCTTGAACCACAACCTTGAGGTCACCCAATTCCAGCAGGAAGCTGCAAGCTGCTTCTTGAGACCTTTCCCTGCAAGCTCACTCACTGCAGGTAGAGGTAGCCAGCAGATACCCCAGGACACCTGCTGGGATGGCAGAGGACAGTCCCCACCTCCCACAGAGGTGCTGTCCTTCATCCTTGGCAGCTCCAGAGCAAATAAAGAAATGTTTCTGGGGAACCAACAGTTACCGTAATGGCTATGTCGCTGGACTCCCACGTAGTCGACCGTGGTTCGAGTAACAGACCCGGTGGCTTAAAACTCACGCCGGGCACATGTGCGTGTGTGCCCAAGATCCCGAGAGGAGAATGGAGGAGAAGGGATTGCGGCATGACTATTCCCCCTGGGGGGTGATTTCTCGCTTTCTGTCTCTAATGTCTCTCTCTGTCTGGCGAGCGCATGTGCCCTATAGTGAAAATCTCTCAAAAAAAAAAAAAAAAAAAAAGAAATGTTTCTGGATTCCAGTGTGGTGTCTGGGAGCTTGAGAAGGAGGTGCAGGCACCAGGTCTGCAGCCCACTTCCGGCAGATCCCTCCCCAGGTCACTCAGGCTGGGGCTCCTGACACAGGAAGTACTGGTGGATGTTTGCCACTTCAGAATCCTCAAGAGCACTGGTGACACTTGGGGAGGGTCCAGCCACCTTTGCCCTGAGCATCCCTTCCCTCTCAGCGAGTTCACAGCCCAGGAGGGCCCTTGGCCTCTCCTGATGGCTTCCGTTGGGCTGGCCAGGGGTCTAAACCTTGGGGACCTACCACCTTACCTGTCTCTGTCACCCCACTCCTGCTTGCTTCTCATGAGACCAGCTCCTGAGGAGGTTGATGTGGGGGCTGCCTCATCCCGCACAGGCCAGGACACGTTCGTCCTTCCATTTCTGAGAGAGAAATCCAGGGAGTTGTGGGGCTTCCTGAAGGGGTTGGCCAGAGACCATGGGCAGTGGCTTCATCACTATGTGAGCAGGGTGCCAGGATAGTGACCAGAGTCTTTCTCTCCTGGCAGCAAGCACGCGGCCCTGGAAGCTGAAGAGGAGCTGTCCCTGCTGGCTCGGAACAGGCAGCGAGCACAGCATCCCACCCCTGGGCCTGCCAGGCTGGTCAGGAACTGTTTCCTCCCACTAAGAGAATATTTCAAGTATTTTTCAACAGAACTCGCTTCCTCTTTATAAGTGAGTCATGATACCAGGAAAAAAAAAAAAAAAGACTTTCCTAGAAGAAAGACAACTTTCCTCCCATTGTCTCTTTCCCCCTTTAGATTCTTTTTTATTTGCTTGATTTTGGGCCTGCTGCGGTTAGTTCCAGATCTGCAGGGGCCTCCTTGATCATGCTCACACTCGTGCAGGGAAGGGGGCGAAGCTCTGGGTAGCTGTGAGCCAGACCCAAGTGCTGGTGTGTGTATTGTTCTTACCAAAAGTGTTTCTGTGGTCTATCTGAAAACTTAAAAATACGTATTTATTGTAAGGCTGTTATTGGCTGTTTTTTGTTCTGTAGACGCGGGGTGGGGGGCATGAGCAAGACAGCAGGTGACATCATTATGAGGGCCGTGGCACATTTTCCATGTACACACAGAGCAGAGCCTCGTCACGTGACTGCTCTCTGCTGTGATGGTTAAACCCATGCACCCAGGGGCCAGCAGGTGTCATCATGGTTAGGGCACCGGACTCTCACATGGCCGATCATGGTTTGAGTCCTGGACCTGGTGGCAGTGGGTGCAGGTATGTGCATGCTCAAAATCCCAGGAGGAGAATGGAGGAGAAAGGAGGGCTGCATGGCCCCCTGGGGGGTGATTTTTCACTTTCCTTCTCACTGTCTCTCTCTGGTGAGCACATGTATCTTATGGAAAAAACAAAACAAAACAAAAAACCCACACACCCGATGACAGCTACATGAAACATCCCAAACCTCAGACCAGCTAAATAGATTGGTGCAGAGGCTGAGACCAGATCTGCTCACGAAGAATTCACTCTGGGTCATCCCAATCCCAGGGGCATTATTTGGAGAAAGCAGGATTCCTCCAGGCCCGCAGCAGTCCCAGTCTGAGTAGGAATAAACCCACCAGGACCCAAAGCTTTGCGCGGAGATTCAGGCCACATGTACTGAATTCTAGAGGGCAGTTTCCCAGTTAGCCAGACAATGCCAAGGGAAGTAAACTCGGGCATTGAAGACTCGCTGTGCCTGGGGCACTGCTCCTAGAACGTGGGGGCCCTTGGAGTAGTCAGAGCCAGTCCTGTCAGTGGTGTCTGAAATGCTTTGTAGAAGAAAGTTGGGTGAGAATTGGACCCTTTGAGGATTTTTTTAAAAAAATTATTTAACTTTTCCCATTATTATTATTTTAATTATTTATTTAATTTGTTATTTTTATTTTTTAATTTGACCAGAGAGAGACAAAGAAAGAGAGAAAGGGAAAGTGAGAAAGCAAGCCACAAGGTCCAGGACCTGAACCACAGTTGGCCATGTAGGAGTCCAGTTCCTTAACCACTACAACACCTGGTAGCCCTTCATTATTATTTTTCAATTTGCTACAGGGCACATGTGCTCACCAGAGAGAGAGAGAGAGAGAGGAAGTGAGAAGGCAAGCTGCCATCTCCAGGACTCAAACCATGGTCAGCCATGTGGGAGTCCAGTGCCTTAACCACCACACCACCTGCCAGCCTCCCTTTAAGATTTTTTTTAAAATATCTTGGAGTGAAATGGATGTCTTCCCTTGAATCAATATGGCCAGATACCTCTTCTCTCTTTGGAAGACAATAGTGGGCTCTAATGACATATTCTTGTGTCCAGAGCTAATTCGGCAAGACCTATGCTGAAACTAAGGTTACAGAAGCCCCAGAAAGCGGAGAGGGATGCAGAGATAAGAGTGGCCCCATGCAAATAGGTCTCCTCAGGGAGGCCAAGCTGACTGCAGAGATGGCTAGAGAGATTGGCATGAGCCCACGGCCACCAGACCAGGCAGGGCAGTGGGAGCCCTGGTCAGGATGGTTGATTGACGCTGCCTCCACCAGAGGCCAACGGACGTCCCACTCCTTCCTATCAGCCAGCTTCAAAGCAGAAACCTGGAGCCATGCCATGAGGGCATCTCTGCCACTCGTCACGAGCTTTCCGTCTCTGTCCTCTCCCAGAATTAGCCACACTGCCGTGAGAGCCTCCCTCCAAGTGTCCTGATCCT